AGAAAGAGTCCTTAAATTAAATTAACAGTTGTAGAAAGAAATGTGCTATGGAAATACATGAACACTGCGCTTTAAACTAGGGGTCGACCGATTATCGAGGCCGATATTCCGCATTTGACAGATTATCGGTATCGGCCTTTTTACAACTTTGGCTCTGATGCGGCCGTTTCTCTGGCTGCAGTAACCACTGTTCACGAGCAATGTCCCGCCCACAGCGCTATCTGATAGGCTATTACTGAAGTGTCAATCAACACTGAAGATTTTCCGGGCTGCAGCCAGCCAGAGAGGCGGGACCTTCTCAGATTACAGGCAGGTGCGAAGAACGCAGACACAGACAGAGGCAAGCAGCAGCAGTGAGCGGTGTTTCCAAGGTAAATCAGTTGGAAGCCGAAGTTCAATAAACATCCCAATCCCCTATGCTGAAGTTGCAAAAACACCACGATCTTATGATCCAATTCTATCAGTTTCCCAGTTACAAAGGGACCGGGGGGGGGGGGGGCGGGTAGCGTCTCGCAGCGGAGAAACTGGGACGTGCTGGGACGACTGGGACTGTGACGGCTGCTAGTGGAGCCTCGCAGCAACTCTGCTTTCTGCACCACAATCTGGTGCTGCTGAATTGGGACTACTAAATGAGTGAGACTCAAATATCAGAAGTTCAAGATGTTGAAAAGTTCATTAAACATAAAAAGGCATTTCAAAGAAGTTGTGTTATTCTACATTTTGACACCAAGATTTTCTGATTTACTGCAAATGTATATCGGTTCCAAATATCGGTTATCGGTCTCCTTGATTACTAATAATCGGTATCGGCCTTGAAAAAGCCATATCAGTCGATCCCTACTTTAAACCCACCTGGCTTTTTGCCGAAGGACAGTTTAAGCTGGCTGGAGGATCCAACCTCAAAGTTAGGTTTAGAGGCAGAAACTCTGACTTTAGACAGAGTGTTTCCTTGGTAACCAGTGGCCGTCCTGAGAGAGGTCAGCGCCTCAGGACTCAGATTTGCTTCACTCACCTGGAGGGAGAGGAAGAAGGGGAACAGGTCAGAGAGGAAACACTGGTGTGGATGATTACCCAAAAGAAAGAAGAAACCAAAGTTAAAAGACCACTCAGAGAAAATTCAATGTACCATTTATATATTCTTTTACATATTACATACACATAGGCCCAGAATACTAACATGCAAAACAGGATCTTCTGGAACAAAAATGAAAACAGCTCTGCTTTGTTTGATGGCTTTAACCATCCATCTTTCTCCTGATCACATTTCAGAGGTGTTGCCACAACCACATACTCATGCACATCACGCACCTGTGTAACCGACATGAAGCCCGACAGCTTCAGGGCGGACATGAGTCTGTCAGCTGTCCTCACACTCTGAGCCTCAGCTCCTGGAACACAGAGAAACGAGTCACACACACTGTCGCACAATCAGAGCCAAAGCCTCACAGTGCCCTTGTGGATAAAGACATATGACACATGAAAGAGACAACATTCATGAATAAACAATACTAAGTAAAATGTAAATATTTTATCAGTGTTAAACATAATGCTGTGACTCATTATTAGTGTACTTTGCCATTTTACAGGCATCAAGATGCATATCACTACATTTTTCATACTTTTCAGCCGTCTAACATCTAGAAAAGAAGTAAGAACAACCGTTCACCTGTTACTGCTTCCTCAAGGATGAGCTTCCCTCCTGGTTTTAGCACTTTGGCAATTTCTGCCAGAGTCTCTGAGCTGTGGATGGAGGAGCTGTCTGCCACGAGGCCAGAGAGCACCCAGTCAAAGGAGGACGCTGAGTGGGAGGCTGAGAGAGGAGAGGAGCATTTTACACCCATTTACTCACTTCTGACAGAACTGTGTTCATGCTCACAGGCTGAATCAACAGAGATGGATGAAACACGGATCGAAAATATCAATAATACATAGTACAAACAATACATAGCCATAATAAATAGCAATGATACAATGTGAAAGTCCTGCATTTAACTTTAGTTAAAGGGCCCATGTCATGCTTTTCCGGTTATTACCTGTCCCCTTAGGCGCGTTTACACCGCAGTACTTTTCCCACTTTAGTTCCGATATAGTTCTGAAATGTTGCGTTCACACCAAAAAAATCTGGAACTAAAATTAGTTAATGAGAACCTTTTTACCCCCTTTTCCGTCCCTGCTAGAGAGCAGGGACTTTCGTGGGAGAAAAAGGTTCCTATTTCTGATTGGCTGGGCGGATTGCAAACCACGCCCCGTAAAACTCCCAAAAGGTTTTGTGAAGCCGCCATTTTATTATCCTCGCATTAGCATTAGGCGCTTTCACACCGCAGTACTTCACACCCACAAAGGTTCATCAGAACTTAGTTCATGAGAACTCTTTATTTCTCATGAACTAAGTACAGATTGCGTTCACACCGGAATAAGTCCCTGGGGGAGGATTAGGCAAATGAAGCCGCTGACGTCACTTCTTCTTCTTCTGCTTTGGGTTTACTGGCAGGCCGCAAACAACTTCACGACGTATACTGCCACCCGAAGTCCCCGGCCGGAAGTCCCCGGAGTTGGGGACTGACACCTCCTCATCTCCACCGCTCCCATGTTTTCTTTTGTGTTGCCATAAGTTAATCTCTCTGCGTTTGTGCGCTGGGCTAATGCTAATAATGCTAATGCGAGGATAATAAAATGGCGGCTTCACAAAACCTTTTGGGAGTTTTACGGGGCGTGGTTTGCAATCCAAATGGACCAATCCGCGGAGCACCTCACACACCAGGATCCCTTGGCTAACTAACAGGGAGTCCCCATTGACTTGCATAGAGCTCCCTGAACGCTGGTAATAGACGAGTTGGGATCACGGAGAAATGCTCTCCGCAGACCCATTCTCACAGCGTTATCAACCTTTTTCTTACTCAATATCAAGCCTCACTTATTGTTTTTACTTCGGCTGTGAGTGTGTGTGTGCTCAGGATGAGTTTCGCGCTGTCTCGCTGTATCGCCGACCCGGAAACCTGTCTGCTCCTCGCAGCAGGCAACGAGCCTCGCAACGTCCCGACCAATCAGAGCACACTGGGCTCACAGGGAGGGGGGGGGCAGGAGCTCCAACAAGCCGTTTAGGACAGAGAGTGAATACACATACTATACAGAGATGCTGTATGAGAAACCAATGTGATTTTGGAAAATTGCACAATTTAAATCTATTCTAGTAGACCTCAACAATGGAAATATTATCAGTAGAAATGGCCATGACATGGGACCTTTAAAGTACAAAAATGTTGGCATCAAAATATACTTCAGTAACAAACGTTGAATTATTAAATATGCATCATGGCCCAATTTAGATTAATATAAATGTAATTACTTGATTACGATTGTTGATTTTTATTATTTTTCACACAGCGCATACAAAAAATATTTTAAAAACAAACCAAAAAGTATATGGTTGGTGATGCATTCATGTTATCATCACAGCTGGTACATCTGGAGTTACTTTGAATTGTTTTGTATAGAGCTGCTGTATATCTTAACCAATAATTATATCAATGTTTGTATATATATATATATATATATATATAGTATAAGTTGATTTATATTTTTGTTTTAGCTAATAATCTGAATATGTGATCTGGAAACTGAACTAAATTAATTACATTATTACAATAATGTCTTACAAATTACAATTTAGTACAGGAAAGTAAACCGTGAATCAGAGGCATCTGCAGTGCCATCATGATGAAGTAGTTTTTTTTAACAACCTTGCCTCGTGTAATGTAAAATCATATGTAGTGTTACTCACACATCAGTAATCTCTCCATGTTCTCCACTGACACTTTGTCTGCACCTACGATGGCCCCCAGCTCCTCCGCCTGCTGTTTCAGGGCGGTTGGGTCTGAGGGCTGAGCCCACACCAGCATCACCCTGTCTCCTGCTCTCATGCCCAGGTCTGCCATCATCTGTCTGGAGAGAAGCACTCATTTAAGTGATTACAACACAAAAACACTGGCTTCTCTGTCTAGTTGTGGATAATCTAACAGTGAAGACACGTGTCTGTGTGTCACTGCAGAGATAGTACAGCCAGACCAACAGGTAGTTTTATAAGTATAATAATAGGAATAATCTAAATACACCCATACATGTAATAGCTTTTACCACACCTCAACAAGTTATAAAGAGAAAGAATAATTCCCAACAAAATAAGAAATACGTATGACCTTGAGATAATTGTTTTATCATAATACCAGAGCAGACAGTCAGGTATTGATAGTCAATTGTTATAATAAATAGTGTTACATTATTTTCAAAAGCAATAGTGTTAAATTAAATCATTCACAAACGGTGAAATTGTCTGGCAGGTTCTCTCTAGCCAAAGTGTTTCCTCTATGTCGTTTTTACATTATTGAATTAATGGTTGTTTTCTCCACCTCTTGAATTAAAATGTCAAAAGGCCAGCCGGCTAACTGTTAGCTAGCAGGTCAGCCTGTGTGTTGAGGTGGATTCAGGTAATAGCACGTTAGCAAACATCGAGAAACAGCGTGACGCAGAAAACGCCGGTGCTCATTAAGTCCAGGAGCACGTCCTTAGCATGGAGAGCACAGTATACGGCTGCCCATGAACAACATATACCAATATAATAATATCATTGTTCTGAAAATAATGTGGTTATTAAATAACTGAGCATTACACTCGAGTATCATGTTACTTACCGTTCGTCTCTTGATAGAAGTTGCAATGTCAAGTTACACAATAAGAGTGCGTTTCCGGTTTGACTTTTCAAAATAATAAATCGTTATCGGTTGGCCATTGAGAGAGAGTCTACGGGAAAACTGCAGTGGGAATGATTTTAAGAGTGAAATTAAGTTATTCAGACACCAAATAAATTGTGAACTGCATTTTATATTGTTACATTTCCATTCATGTATAAATGTATGTTTAATGCGTTTTAGACTGAAGACAGCATTCTTGTTTTTTCACATGGTTGCCAGCTTGATTCGTGTTTATATCACAAAAGTCGCGCAAAGATGACGCAGTTGTTATTTAAAATAAACATTAACAACCCTCTCAGCGCAGCGGAATATGGCGGCGCTGCTTAGAGCTCTGCGCGTTGGAAGTGCACTCCGGGGACTGGGCAGCGGTGAGACACGACCACTGTCATGCTTCCTCTCATGTTATGGACTGCTTGGCAAATAATTCATTTAGCTAGTTCCATTATTTTGCTGACTTGTTGCATGAAGTGGAAACGAGCCAGTGTTAACATGTCGCCTTCGTGCCAAAGTCACTTGGCACAGGTGGTGAAGGGCAACATTATGTTGGCTGTGGCGATTGATACTAGTTTATTCGGGGAATAACTGTTGGTTGACATGGTGCTACTTTTTATTAGACCTCAACATTTAAACACGCATTAAAAACTCGTTAACGTTACAACAACCTGAGGGCGTCTCTGTCAGATTATGCAAACTGTCAAGGTCTGTGTCTCCTAACGTGTCTGAAGTTAAATATAGCTTAGATGTTCTTGTTTGAACGTTCATCAAGTGTAGCGTTGGTATTTAGTATTGTGTGTGTCATGAAATAGATACAAAAGAACGAGTCTTTTTACTGACTCGGATCACACCTCTTCAGTGAATAGTCTTCACCGTAACTCTTTCACTACAGAGACGTTCATACCGACTCTTTTCACAGATTCAAGGGTTTTATTGTCATATGCACAGTAGCTACAGTGTAGTTATGGCAATTCAAATCTTAAGTCCCAAGCTCCTCCAACAGTGCAACATATTGACATAAGACAAATAAAAAACTAAAACTAAAAATAGTGCAAAATGAAACGGAGTAGGATAGATTAGAATAAAATAGTTCAGTTTATGTTGCAAGACCAGTATACAATTAATGCATATGAAGTTAACTATATACAGGTCAGAAATATAAATAATACAATAAGCTAAATGATGCAGATAATTTTGAAAGTGACCAAGTAAATGCACGATTCTATGTACATGTACATAGAATAAGATACACAGAATTTGCTCCTTCAAATTGATCTCGGATTGTATAGAATAGGTGGATTTCTGTAAATGCAGAGGTGGAAGAAGTATTCAGATCTTGTAATTCAGTGAAAGTAGAAGTACCAGAGTGTATAAAATGAATACTCTGTTGCAAATAAAAGTCCTGCATTCAAAATGATCAGCATCAAAATATAGTTAAAGTACCAAAAGTAAAAGTAGTCATTGTGCAGATTGTTCCATTTCAGAATAATATATATGATATGTTTTATAATTATTGATCATTAAAGTGTCCTCAAAGCTGGTAAAGGTGCAGCTAGTTTGAATGACTTTGTATACTGCAGGGTAGCTTGTGGATTTACTCCAGGTGGAACTAAAGTCTGATTTAACACTTGATTATATTTCACATCATTCATCCACATCTGTGAAGTAACTAAAGGGATTAAATACATGTAGTGGAGGAAAAGTACACCATTTACCTCTGACTTGAAGTGGGGTAGAAGTACAAAGTAGTATAAAATTGAAATACTGAAGTAAAGTACAAGTACCCCAAAATGTACTGAAGTACAGTACTTGAGTATTTAGTTACTTTACACCGCTGTGTAAATGTAACAACTCTTTGAGTTTTGATTATAAAATAAAGTATCTGTCTGTAACACAAAGCACCTGCATGTTTGACAGCTGCCTGCCCCACAAAACTAATTTCATGTATAGATTAGCATTCCACCTCTATGTAAGTAGGATGTGTATGCAAATACGACGTTGCAGAAATGGCACAACGACAATGGGGATTTGTGCCTTTTTGTTTCTGTAAATGCTCGGTTATATCCAAAGAATATAAACCTTCTCGAAAAATTGCAACAAGTCTTTCCAAAACCTTAATATATTTTTATTTAGTTTTCTCAAAGTCACCAAGAATTTGAGGCATTCTGCAGCAAGAGAGAAGTTGATGAAAGATTAGAGCAAAGGATTGTATAAGTGGTGGGGGAAGCTCCTGGAGGCTCAACAGTTAGACCAGTGCCACCTTCACGTAGTACACTCAAAGTGTTGGTAATATAAACATGATTTCTGTTTTCAAAAAAATAAAAACACCATCAAACAGGCAGATATTTAACATTTGGCACTGGCTAGATTCAGTTAAAGGCATAACAACATTTCGTTTAGCATTTTGAGATTTTCTGAGCAGGACAATCACTCCTTTTAATTTAAGTCCCAACAATTGGACTCCTGGATTAGCCAGACATTAGTCTAAATCCAATCAAACGGATATCATATGAACCAAAGCACATGTGATGACTTCAGTTCTGAAGCTAATGTTATGTTTAGTTCAACGTAGCATTATGTTGGTTACGTTTCAATGCATTTTAGATTAAACCATGGAAGAGTCATATGTGAGTAAAGTACAACATCCCATGTTTGGCCATAGATGTTCGTGTTTTGTTGATCTTGAGTTTGAAATTAAATCTGACATGTTACTTTTGAGTTTCTGTCACATGTTCTCCCATTAAAGCCTTGAGAAGCTAATGAGTATTTTCCCCCTGCAGTGGTGTCTGCCCCAGCAGCACAGCCCCCGTGCAGCAGCCTGACTCGAGGCTTCCACCGGGCAGCACTGAGGCTTCAGGATGAATCCAAAGCTGACAAACCCCCCTCCTCCTCACCCAGCTCAACCACCTACCATGAGCACTACCGGGCTCACTCTGCTGAACAGGAAGCAGCAGGAGCCCCCCAGGAACACTCAGCATCTGAGCCAGCAGCTAAGGAGGCCTCCAGGCCGAACACCAGGTCAGTCTGTACAGAACGCTCTCAATCTTGAGGCAACCTTTATAATTAAAGGTTATAATGTTTGTGTTGGTTAAAACAATATTTTGGTGCATGCATTTGGATGTATTCATTCATTTTCTCATTCCAGAGGTTTGCAGTCTGGGCAAAAAAAATACGATATAAAAATCAATTTGTATTTCAAAGAATCAGAAGGCAATCAAAGATATTGAGGCATTTTGAGACACCCACAGTACACGGTACACAACACATCACTGGCCTGCAATGCTAATAGAGTACAAAGATTTGATAGGGAAAAAACCTTTGTTAGAATGAGGGCGAAGACACAAAACAGTAATTAAAAATTAGGGGTCGACCGATTATCGGCCTGGCTTTAATCAAATTGCCGATACAACTTTGGCTCTGATGCGGCCGTTTCTCTGGCTGCAGTAACCACTGTTCACGAGCAATGTCCCGCCCACAGCGCTATCTGATAGGCTATTACTGAAGTGTCAATCAACACTGAAGATTTTCCGGGCTGCAGCCAGCCAGAGAGGCGGGACCTTCTCAGATTACAGGCAGGTGCGAAGAACGCAGACACAGACAGAGGCAAGCAGCAGCAGTGAGCGGTGTTTCCAAGGTAAATCAGTTGAAAGCCGAAGTTCAATAAACATCCCAATCCCCTATGCTGAAGTTGCAAAAACACCATGATCTTATGATCCAATTCTATCAGTTTCCCAGTTACAAAGGGACCGGGGGGGGGGGGGGGGGGGGGGGGCGGGTAGCGTCTCGCAGCGGAGAAACTGGGACGTGCTGGGACGACTGGGACTGTGACGGCTGCTAGTGGAGCCTCGCAGCAACTCTGCTTTCTGCACCACAATCTGGTGCTGCTGAATTGGGACTACTAAATGAGTGAGACTCAAATATCAGAAGTTCAGAACAAGTTTTATTTTATTTTTACTTCATTTACTTTACTCAGGGTCACAGAGAGGAAACCAGTTTTAAGATGTTGAAAAGTTCATTAAACATAATTTCAAAGAAGTTGATTTTCTGATTTTACTGCAAATGTATATAGGTTCCAAATATCGGTTATCGGTCTCCTTGATTACTAATAATCGGTATCGGCCTTGAAAAAGCCATATCGGTCGATCCCTATTAAAAATACACGCTCCATATCGCCAAGCCCTAAGCAATCTCGTTTTTCAGCCCAGATGGTTGAATCAGAGCAGCTCTTATGTTTAGTGAGAGCAACAAGTCAGTGAATGCCGTCTCTGCAGAGCTCTGTGTTTGGTGAAACAGAGATCAAAAGAGACAATCGACACACTAAATAATTGTTATATGATGTGTATGAATTTCTTATCCTGATATTGTTCGGTCACAGCATCAAAGCAGAATTGCCCCATCGCATGCATCTTAGAATCCCAAAAAATCCAAATATCTACTAGTCATGACCTCAGAAAACCTCCCCCTCTGTTCTTCATTCCTACTGACACGTGCCTCTTTCTGTGTGTGTGGACAGCTACCAGGATCAGAGTGGAGAGCAGGGCGAGGAGTATGAGACAGAGGAGCAGCTTCAGGCTCGCATCCTGACCGCTGCCCTGGAGTTCATCCCTCTGCACGGCTGGACAGTGGAGGCCATCGCAGCTGGGGCTGAGGTGAGTGGAGCAGCTGCACTGCTAACGCGCATGCGCACACACACACACACTCTGCCCCCTCCCTACATATTCAATGACTGACTTTGATGAGTGAGTAAGTGAGCTCAGCTCTAATTTATACAACTGTCCAAAGGTAACATTTTCTTTAGCATACTCATATTTATTCCTATTATTTTAAAATCGAAATAACGGTCTATAGTATATTCATTTTTATTCTGTTTATATTTGCTGTATTATACTGTTTATTTTTATACCTGATCTATATAGACCTTTTTATATCTATAGTAAATTCAATTTCTACACTGCTGTTTATAATGTTTATACCTCCTTGTAGTGTTCATAGTGTCAATACTGTCAGATGTGTATATTTAAATTATACTGCAAATAACACTACACTAGTTGTTTAACACTTCTGGTTGGATGCTAACTACATTTCGTTGTCCTAGTACCTGTACTCTGTGCAATGACAATAAAGTAGAATCTAATCTAACAGGCAGAGCCCACGTTTGGCATTGGCTCCCTTTTGGTAGTCAATGTTGTGTCTCTTCTTGACCTGCTTTTTGTTTTTATACACACACATGGTTATTTTCCTGCTGTATGATGCATTATGTGTGTGTTGTGTTGGTACCAGATGCTGGGCCTGTCCTCTGCTTCCACTGGGATGTTCTATAACGGAGCTGGAGACCTGGTGCTGCACTTCGTCTCTCAGTGTAACTCCCAGCTGACAGATATCCTAGCTGAACAACACAACCAGGTCCAGCTGGGCCAGGCCGAGTACGTTAACACACACATTTGTACATCTACATGTTTTCATAAGCTGTAAATAAACTTATTTTAGCTTTTGTCTTTGAAACTGTGTTGCAGACCTAAGAAGACTGCAGAGTTTCTGAGAGATGCTGTGGAGACCAGACTCAGGATGTACATCCCTTACATTGAAACCTGGCCACAGGTACACTGTTACAACCTCTGTGTCTTCTTTCATTTTTGTATTTTCATTACTAGCAGAGATCAGAGTGGTACCTAAAAGCGTGATTAATGTGTTTATAATGAGGTATGTTGAGAGTTTCCAAGGCTCTTTTTACCTGGCTAGATCACAATGGAAGCGTATTCTGCAGACATTACCTGCTGCCCTCCAGGTTATGTACAGAAATTCAGATTTAAAAACACTGTTCATTAACTATCTCTAATAGCAGCATCACTTTTCAGTATAATCAATCTATGAAATACTTGGTCTGGGCTGGGGATACTTTAAATACATGTCAACATGCTGAGGTCCAACGTTAAATGAATGTCACAGATAGAAGCTGTACAGTTACAGGTGTCATCACACTGTGTGCATCGTAGCGTTTTTTTCTTATTGTTGTTGCAGCAACCTTGTCTCAGTGCTGCAGAAAGGTTAGGTTCTTAGGTAAGCTACATAGTACGATAGTATTGCTTTATTACTTCCCTCCAATTTAGTTTTGTGATTTTAATGATACATAATTATCGGTTAACATGTTAAGCAGCAGTATATAAAGCAATTAAATAAGCTCCACCTATACACCAGCTGTGATGATTACATTAATGCATCAATAATAATCCAGTAATTGAATATATATGATTCTATAAAGGGACATTACGCACAATAAGTACTTTTACTGTTGGTACTTTAAGTATATTTTTATGCTGACACATTTGTACTTTTACTAAAGAAACATTTTGAATGCAAGACTTTTACTTGTAACAGAGTATTTGTACACTGTATTATTTCTGCTTACCTTAGTACAATATTTACTAATACGGGGGGAGGTTTCTGCAACTTACAGAAACCTCCCCGTGGTGCAGCCTGGGAAACGCTGGTTGAATGAGATATACATCCAAGAGGATATAATCTGATACTGCCAGTAGGCCAATCTCTGTATACTTACCTACGCAATCAAATTGATGAAGATGCCTGCCGGATCTCGACAGCGTCACAGATACCTGCCCCTCTCTGGACCCGCACTGTCAATCGTCTCAATCAACATCGAAGGTTTCTCCGGATGCAAGGCAGAGATACTGGCAAAGATGGCCAATCGTTTTGACGTACTCTGCATGCAGGAAACCCACAACGGCCCTGCACAACACCGACCTACCATCCCTGGAATGAAACTGGTCGCTGAGACCCGACACAGACAGTATGGATCAGCTGTTTTCAGCAGACCAAACCTCAAGATTGAGGAAGTCTGGACCCACACTACGGAAGGAAACATGGAAACCATCACAGTTGCCCTCCCAAATGTCTCTGTCACATCAGTCTACAAACCACCTGCAACCCCTTTTCTGTACACAGAACTACCAGAAAGATGCAAGAGGAGATTCCATATCAGCATCGGCGACTTCAATGCCCACAGTACATCATGGGGCTATGAGAACAACAACCAAGATGGAGATGAAGTTGAGACCTGGCTTGAGTCCAAGCACCTGACCCTAATCCATAACGCTAAACTACCCAAATCCTTCCACAGCGCCAGATGGAAACGAGGATACAACCCAGACCTCGCATGCGTAAGCAGTGACATCGCATCCAGAACTGAGAAGGAAGTCCTGGACCCTATCCCCCATACCCAGCACCGGCCAATTGCCATCACCGTTAGATCCGCTCTCCAAGCAACCACCGTCCCATTCCGCAGGAGGTTCAACCTACGGAAAGCCGACTGGTTGTCATTCCAACAGGAGATAGAGCATTCCATATCTAACATACCACCATTTCCCAATAACTACTCCAACTTCACAGACTTGGTAAAAAGGTCAGCCAGACGTCACATACCCAGGGGATGCCAGACACAGTATATTCCTGGGCTATCAGAAACATCCAGCGACCTGCTGAAGGCCTACTATGAGGAATATAATAAGGACCCTTTCTCCTCTACCACCATGGAACTTGGAGAGACCCTGATCAGTGAAGTTGTGGAAGAACGAAGGAAAGTCTGGAAGGAAATGATAGAGAACACCAATATGACAAATAACAGCAGGAAGGCATGGGCTACAATCCGCCGTCTTGGCGAGACCACACCACCCCACCCATAATCACAACGGTCACAGCAAACGCGGTTGCATCACAGCTGGTGGCCAACGGCCGTAACCAACACCGCCACCAACCCACAGGAGAACACTATCGCACAGTGGTATCAGACCAACCACAACCAGCCAGCCCTCTCACCAAACCCTTCGACATAGAAGGCGTGTGGCGCAGTCGATAGAGCCTTGGTGTTGGGATCAGGGAGTCACAGGTTCAAACCCCACTGCAGTCAGCATGTCGTTGTGTCCCTGAGACACTTCACCCCAAAGTGCTCCAGTGGGGATTGTCCACAGTATTGAGTATGTAAGTCGCTTTGGATAAAAGCGTCTAACAAGTAACATGTAATGTAATGTAATGTAATGTAATGTAATAGAAGAACTCGAAACTGCAATGGGTAAACTGAAACCCGGAAAAGCAGCAGGGATTGATGACATACTGGCAGAAATGATACAGTACCTGGGACCTAACGCAAAGACCTGGCTCCTGGAGATGCTGAACACATGTATGGCACAAAAAACCATCCCTCCTGTCTGGAGAAAGGCCAAAGTGGTTGCAATCCCCAAACCCGGCAAAGACCCATCATCCCCAAAGAGCTACCGACCCATTTCCCTCCTCTGCATCACTTACAAGCTCTACGAGAGGCTGCTACTCCAACGCCTCATGCCACTCATAGACACCAAGCTGACTAAAGACCAAGCTGGTTTCCGTCCTGGCCGATCCTTTGCTGGATAGCTACTCAACCTCACCCAACACATTGAGGATGGGTTTGAAGGAAAACAAATAACTGGAGCAGCATTCATAGATCTCTCTGCTGCCTATGGCACTGTCCAACACCGTGCAATGGTCAGGAAACTACTGGACATGACTGGTGACCTGAATCTGTGTCAAGTCATCAAAAGCCTCCTCAACAACAGGCGCTTCTACGTTCAGTTAAATGACCAGAGGAGCAACTGGAAAGCCCAAAAGAACGGCCTCCCACAAGGTAGCGTACTGTCCTGTTCAACATATACACAAACGACCAGCCATTAGATAAGATAAGATAAGATAGTACTTTATTGATCCCAATTTGGGAAATTGTTTTTGTTACAGCATAAAAGCCATTTTACAATAAAACAAAAACTACAAAATAAACAAGAATAGAAAGAAAAATAAAATAGAAGATATACATGTTGAAATAGAAAATATACATGCAGATATTATATATACAAATATACAAATATATATATATATATATATATATATATATATTAGGGCTGTCAGTCGATTAAAATATTTAATCGCGATTAATCGCATGATTGTCCATAGTTAATCGCGATTAATCGCAAATTAATCGCACATTTTTTATCTGTTCTAAATGTACCTTAGAGGGATATTTTTCAAGTTTTGAATACTCTTATCAACATATGAGTGGACAACTATGCTTTATATGTTTGTTTATTATCATTTGAATAATGACAAATATTCTCATGAATATTAAACACAACAACCTGAACATTACAAATATTCGCCTCAATTCAACCTGGAACCTCTCTCATACAATAATACTGTGTGTGTGTGTGTGTGTGTGTGTGTGTGTGTGTGTGTGTGTGTGTGTGTGTGTGTGTGTGTGTGTGTGTGTGTGTGTGTGTGTGTGTGTGTGTGTGTGTGTGTGTGTGTGTGTGTGTGTGTGTGTGTGTGTGTGTGTGTGTGTGTGTGTGTGTGTGTGTGTGTGTGTGTGTGTGTGTGTGTGTGTGTGTGTGTGTGTGTGTGTGTGTGTGTGTGTGTGTGTGTGTGTGTGTGTGTGTGTGTGTGTGTGTGTGTGTGTGTGTGTGGTGTGTGTGTGTGTGTGTGTGTGTGTGTGTGTGTGTGTGTGTGTGTGTGTGTGTGTGTGTGTGTGTGTGTGTGTGTGTGTGTGTTGGAGCTATGTGCAGCTCAAGGCATATATGCCTGTGTGTATGAGCTGTGTTGCGCGCACTATCCGTGCTGAGTGTGCTGTCTGGCTACCTGCATAAAGTCAAGTGCTCGGCGCAGTTGTCGGCGAAATGTCGCTCCTCTGTTTTCATTGAAACAGCTCCTTATATCCGTTAGCTCAGCTAGCTAGCACCAGATGCTAACAACAACACGTAAGGTGTGCTTCGCTCGCGCCACACATACACACACCCTCCCGGTCCTCCCGATGGCCAGTCCGGGCCTGCCGGTGAGCGTGGAAGTGTGGTCTGCCACAAGCGGGCAGCAGGAGCGGGGCTGTCAGCATCAGCTTGTAGATGGTATTTTAAACTCGATGCGCTCTGAAACTACGGCGGCCGAGGACAAAAAATACACATGCGTTAATCGCGTTAAAAATAATTAGTGGCGTTAATTTTTTTTTGCGTTAACGCGTTATTAACGCGTTAACTTGACAGCCCTAATATATATATATATATATATATATATATATATATATATATATATATATATATATATATATATATATATATATTCAAATATATGACATATGGAATATGGAATATGGAGTATTAAATATTGAACAGATTATGTATGAGTAAAATGTACAACGTGGTTTTATTTCTAGAGAACCTATGGAGCAGAGAGTTCTCTTCCAGCCAGAGGTGATTTGTTGTACAGTGTTATTGCAGTGGGCAGGAATGTTTTCCAGTATCTGTCCTTGTGACAGGGGAGCTGCAGCAGTCTGTTGGAGAAGGAGCTGCAGCAGTCTGTTGGAGAAGGAGCTGCAGCAGTCTGTTGGAGAGGGAGCTGCAGCAGTCTGTTGGAGAAGGAGCTCCGTTGACTGTCCAGCTGCAGGTGGAGAGGGGGGGGGGGGGTTATCCATGATGGACAACAGCCTGTTCAGTGTCCTCCTCTCCACCACAGCTTCAAAGGGGTCCAGCTTGATGTCGATGACTGACCCAGCTTTCCTGATCAGTTTATTGATCCTGCTGGTGTCACCGTCTCTTATGCTGCCCCCCCAGCAGACCGCAGCAAAGAAGAGTGCACTAGCCACCACAGACTGATAGAAGATCTCCAGCATCTTGCTGCATACGTGGAAGGATCTCAGCTTCCTCAGAAAATAGAGTCGGCTCATCCCCTTCTTGTACACAGCGTCAGTGTTGATCCTCCAGTTCAGCCCATTGTCTAAGTGCACTCCCAGGTACTTGTAGACCTCCACAACTGCCACATCCTCTCCCAGAATGCACAGGGGCAGAGGAGGAGATGTCCTCTTCCTCCTGAAATCAATGACCATCTCTCTGGTCTTGGCCACATTCAAAAGCAGATGATTTCCACCAGTCCACTCAACAAAATCACCCACCAGCGCTCTGTACTCCTCCTCCCGTCCATCCCTTATACACCCTACCACAGCAGAGTCATCCGAAAACTTCTGCAGGTGGCATGACTCTGAGTTGTATTGAAAGTCAGAGGTGTATAAGGTGAACAGGAAAGGAGACAGCACAGTCCCCTGTGGGGCTCCTATACTACCAACCACCACATCAGACAGCACACTGCCCATCCGGACGTACTGTGGTCTGTCCGTGAGGTAGTTGGTAATCCAGGAGATGGTGGACGAGTTTACCCTCATAGCCTGCAGCTTGTCACTCAGTAGCCGAGGCTGGATCACGTTGAATGCACTGGAGAAATCAAAAAAGGTGATTCTCACAGTGCAACCCGATCCATTCAGGTATGAGTGAGCACGCTGCAGCAGGTAAATAATGGCATCGTCCACCCCCAGGTGAGGCTGGTAGGCAAATTGCAGAGGGTCAAGGAATGATCTCACCTGCGGTCTGAGATGGGCCAAGACCAGTCTCTCAAGCACCTTCATCACATGAGATGTGAGTGCTACAGGGCGATAGTCATTGAGCCCAGAAGGAGTCGTCTTTTTAGGGACCGGAACAACGCAGGACGTCTTCCACAGCACCGGGATGGTCTCCAGGTGCAGGCTCCTTCAAGAAACACCTGGAGAACACCAAAGCCAAGGTCAACACCCGCAACAACATCCTGCGCAAACTAGTGAACTCCAAGTGAGGCGCAGATCCACCAACAATCCGTGCAACTGCCATGGCCCTGTGTTTCTCTACAGCAGAGTATGCCTGCTCAAGCTGGAGCCGATCACGTCACACCAAACTGGTCGACACAGCCTTGAATGACACCTGCCGCATCATCACGGGATGCGTTAAGACAACACCTGTCCCGTGCCTCTATGCGCTAGCCGGCATCTCTCCCCCACACATCAGACGACTAGGTATCGCTCAAGATGAACGGAGAACACAGGAGACAGACATCAGACACCCACGTAGCATGGCCACGTAGCACCCCCACGCAGGCTCCGATCCAGAGCCAGTTTTGTGCAGACAGTCCTGCCCCTCCAGACAACTAAACAAGCAGCAAGGACCAACATCTGGGAAGATGAATGGCAAAGACATGACATACGAGCTCTTGAATGGCTGGACAGAGGAATCACACCAACGGAAAGCCTTGCTAGTGGCCACGACCTTGGCTGGACAACCTGGAAGTCACTTAATAGACTGCATGTGGAACAGGGGAGGTGCAAAGCACTGATGAAAGTGTGGAACTACACCACAGAAGACACGTGCCGCTGTGGATCAGTGCAGACAATGTCCCACCTACTGGAATGTGCCGATGCCCCCCGGTGCAGTCCAGAAGACCTGGCAGAACCTACCCCATCAGCTGTGGCCTGTGCCCGATACTGGCAGAACGACATCTGAGATTGCTACGGACTCGAAGAAGAAGTACAATATTTGACTACTTCTTCCACCTCTTTGGATTTGCTGATCTCTGTTTTACACTGCTGGTATATTGCAGTTATATGGCAAAAATGTATTAGTCTATGGGTATATATCACAGTTACTATTCAATCAATACATTTGACATTCATTTTACTTTGATTCAACCAATAACCAGTGATATTTAACGCATACTTCATTATGGGACAGTGTCAGACCTAAATGCAGTTCTTATGGACAACGTTTAAATCTGCCGCATCGAGTTTAAAGTTTAAGAGCCGCAGAACGTGTATTTTTTTATAATCTTGATTATATAATCATTTCCCATGGTAGAAGAGTGAAATGACGCACTAACCCGCCTCATTTCATTAGAAGGTGCACAGAGCCTGAGGAAGAAAGTCTGGATTAGAACTAAAGACATTTAATAACCACCTTTGTGGTACCTGCTATGTCTGATTAGAGGTTTTAGTTTTTTTCGAGCCAGCTCAGTCAACAAAACCCTGACTCTGTCAAACAATACACCTTTCCTAGTGTACCCTTCAGGACTGATGCTGGACTGTGTGTGTGTGTCCTCAGGCGATGAGCATCCTGCTCCTCCCTCACAACATCCCTGACAGCCTGAAGCACCTCTCCACCCTGGTGGACGACATGTGGTACTACGCCGGAGACCGATCCACAGACGTGAGTGGATCCCATCACCCTCGATCCCCTCCCTCGTCTGCTCATACTTTCCTCTCCCCCCTCCACCACCACCCCCACAATATCAGGCCTGCCACCACCCAGGTTACTCCCCCCACTACACCTGTCTCTAATTCATCAGTTTACATTAATGTCACAGATATGACTTGGTACTGATTATCTGGCAGATACAAACATTGAATCAATACTCCGCTTAAATTAGGCTGTATAAACCAGAGCGAAAAAAGTGATGATTTGAAACTAAGTAGGTGATAAACAATACTCTCAACTCAGCAAATTGACCTGTTGACGTTTGATGGACAGACTGAATATTATCGGTTGTCCTGTTTGTAACAAGGCCTTAAACAATGCCAGAGCCCCTACTGTGTTCCTGTTAGTGTTTACTTCATGTCTGTCTTCTTCTGTTGATTTCTCTGACGTCCAACACTCTGTCTTTTAACCTCTTGCCTTCTCTCCCTTGATCCTCCTCAGCAACGGTCATTATTTGCTTAGCAGCGGTGTGTTATCAAGTATTAATAACCTCTGAAATGTCCGAATTGACCAATCAGAATTTAGTATTCATCTATATCCCATACCCCTTACAGTAGAATGCCTTGTTTACATGCTGCTGTGATGAAAAAAAATCCCAAATCGGATCAATAAAGTACATCTTATCCTTATCTTACATACTTTCTGCCCCCCCCTCTCTCCTGCAGATGAACTGGTACACCAAACGTGCGGCACTGACGGGCATATACAACACCACCGAGCTGGTGATGCTGCAGGACTCCTCTCCTGACTTCCAGGACACCTGGGACTTCCTTGACAACCGCATTCAGGATGTGGTCAACATGGCAACCACTGCCAAACAGGTAGAGAGCCTATATAACACTGAGGAGCTACAGAGGGGTCATTGAGAGGAGCTGTTTAAGACTCCTTTTGATACTTTAAATAGGAATACCCAGCTCTGTGTGTGTTGACAAAAAAAATCTCTCATCGTACGGCAAATTTAAATCTCTCTGGTCATAATATCTGGTGAAAATAATTCCCCTAAGCACAATTTGAAATGTATGAATGATAAGATTAGATGAGTCATCACTAGCTGCTCTTGTCGGTGCCACAAGCAACGAGACTGTGGGAACGGCACTATTTGCTGTTCACATTTAGGGCCACACATATACAGCGTTTTTTGCGTACCTTGAGGATGTCATTCTTTATATTAATTTTCCTACAAATGACATTTGACCTGGGTTTGCCCTATTTGTCAGATTAGTTGAAATATTCACTGACATGTTCACAGGCATGATTTCTTTACTAATTGAAAATCTCATATTGGTCTTAATTTTGCCAAAGAAAACTGAAAGATAAAAATGATTTGATTCATACAAATTCAGGACAATGAGTTCAAAATGAAGCAAGAGAACCAGGGAGTCTAACCTGTGTTCAAATGTAATTTTACCCAATTTCTAAATAAATGGTTGTGTGTTCCTCTGTATTCTTTAGGTGCAGGCGACTGGTGAAACAGTGGTGCAGGGGCTCATGGGAGCTGCTGTTACAGTAAGTCTTGTTTATCATTCACTATTTTAAAGTAGTTACATTAGCAGTCATTCTTCCCCTCGTCCACCTGTACACACAGTCTAGTCTAAACTCTTAATTAGTATTAGATTTTTTTTATTCAATGTATTTTTACTTATTTGAATATTGAGAGAAAGTATTGATAGAAATTAGGCTGATTTGGGTCTTGTTTTTACAGCTGAAGAACCTCACTGGACTGAACCAGAGGCGATGATGTGAAAACATCTCTCACTCACACGACCTGCCGGGCTCTCATCACAAGCTGAAGATCAACTCTCTTTTTGCTCTTATATCTGAATAACTGTAAAGTCTGAAAGTATTGAATTATGGCTTTAATTTGTCACAGGCGGTATAGAACGGCCTATTGCTGTTTTACTGTAAGACCCTGGCTTGCCTTGTTTTGCTCCCCCTGTCCAATATTACCCTCCTGCTCAGATTATTTTTTCCCTTTGGACACAATGATCTGTCATTTTTTTGGATGGAGACTTCAATAAAGCAGTTCTATATTGTATATTTAACGTTATGGTTTGTGTTTTATCTTTCTGTTTATTTTGAAAACAGTCATTTATTATAAAGGTTGAGCCCTGGCAGTAGAGTTTTGCAGTTTAAAGACACTTTTATTTTAGACTCACTATTAGAAAATATATTGACAAAAAAGAGAAACTTCAGCATTGTTAATCCGTGTATCTACGGACCATTTGTTTTTCTTTATTAAACAAGTAAACGGAAGAGCGTCTGAGAGGCCTTTTTGCTTTTTACCTTACTAAATGGTCTAATGGTCAGTGGAGCGAGGGGCGGGGCGAAACTTGCATAAGTGATTCCAAAACAAAAGCACTCCTATGCTAAAATACACTTTGAAGCACTACAGTATCCTGTTGAAGGAATGGTGATATTATAAACAAGGGGAATTTAGCGATCACAACAAAAACAGCCAAGACACATATTGAGCCCAGAAAACGAATGGACAACATTGTTAGGAGATTTAAACTATACAGCGATTCTGCACTGCGGTCAACTCGGCTGTCTCGAGTTTGTTTTTTCAAATCAGCTGCTCTTCATTTTTTTTCCTGCTATATTTGATGATAGACACAAATATTTGTTACCATAAGTTCTTAATAAAACTGATACTGTTTAACTCAGTACTAGCTAACTGCTAACAGAAATAAAATGAAGTACTTTTACAGTGTACTTTGTGAGTAATCCTCTGTCAAAGTCCCCTCCATAGTACATAATGCATGTTTTCTGCTATCTTTGATGAATGATAAAAATACAATCTTACCATTAGTTCTTAATGATATTGATACTGTTTGACTTTGTATTAGTAAGCCTACTACTAACAATACATTGAAGTACTTTTACTGTGTATTTTTTTAGTAATCCTGCGGGGGTGCTGCTAGTGAACTGTCAACGTGGGGGAGCCTCGCTGCGGGGAAACGGTGGACCTCTGTCGCCTGTCAGCGCAACTTGATTTTAAAAACATAAAAATGTAAGGGCGGTGCCGGCATACTTGCCAACCTTGAGACCTCAGAAATCGGGAGCATTTCAAAACCACCGCGCGCGGGGGGGGGGGGGGTTGCTAGTGGATATGTCCACACGGCGGCGTGCGTTCTTCCCATTCACTTTGAATGGGGCTTTGCCAAACTGCATTGTGGTTCCGTCGCCTCGCTTTGCTCGCTTCAAAAGTTGAGAAAAGTAGAGCTTAAGCGTAAGCTTCAACGCTTCTGCCCATTCACTTTGAATGGGGTGACGTCACGCTTCGCCGAACTGCATTGTGGGAGCAAAGTAGAGCAATGTTCTGGCCCCTACACACGGCGGCGTGCGTTGAAGCTTGCCGGCGGGCATGTCTGACACTCGACCAACAACCAATCACATGAATCTCCCGCCCCAGACACACAAGCAGCGGTTTGATTGGCTAGAGCTTGTACTGGCATATGATTCGATTGGCTGACGCGAGCAAAGCTACGCTTTGCTCCCACAATGCAGTTCGGCGAAGCGTGACGTCACCCCATTCAAAGTGAATGGGCAGAAGCGTTGAAGCTTCAACGCACGCCGCTCGTGTGTAGGGACCGTTCTACTTTTGAAGCTTCGACGGAAGCGTCAGCCAATCGAATCATATGCCAGTACAAGCTCTAGCCAATCAAACTGCTGCTTGTGTGTCCGGGGCGGGAGATTCATGTGATTGGTTGTTGGTCGAGCGTCAGACATGCCCGCCGGCAAGCTTCAGCGCACGCCGCTGTGTGTAAGCTCCGTTACACTTGTGAAGCCAATCAAATCATATGCCAGTACAAGGCAAGCTCTAGCCAATCAAACCGCGTGCTTGTGTGTCCGGGGCGGGAGATTCATGTGATTGGTTGTTGGTCGAGTTTTAGACACGCCTACCGGCAAGCTTCAACGCACGCCGCCGTGTATGGTGTAGCTAAGGCCCGGACACACCAATCTGACAACAAAGAACTGACACAGACGGACCCCGACTCTTGCGTCGCCTCGCGTCTCTGCGTTTTGGCCATGTGTCGCACTGGATAAATCTGAGATTTCATTTAACTCCAGCTCTCGACACAGGTTCAGGAAAGCCCCATGAGCTTCTCGTTGTAGAGTGAAAATGGAACGCACACGCTATTTGTTGTTTGTTTATATAACGCAGTCTGTTCTTCTTCTCTCGGTTATCACGCAGTCTGTCTTCCGATTGTTGCCTCTTTTGAATGACGAATACACACTACCGCCGCCTGCTGGTAAGGAGAGTTATTGCCACTCACGCATGCGCAGTTCGTACGTGCTTCTTGGCCGTCGGCTGAAGTCCTTTAAGTCAGAGTGGAAACAGTCGTGAGTAAATCTGACAGTCAAAAATAGACAGCAGCCTTTTGCTTGATTTTTGTTTTTGCAGTGCTGTCAAAGGGATGCAAGTGTGACTGTCATTTCATCTCTTTAGTTTTTTAAAAACCAAAACAGAACATAATTTTAAATGATCCTTTAAGGATTGTTTGTCTGAAACCTTAGTTACATTTTGCAATAATACTTTTGCAACCCTGTGTTTAATATGATTAATTCACTTTTTTCTTTTTCTCTTGTTTTTCTCTGTAATTAGGACAATTCTGGAGAAATGGATCTGCTGGAGAAGGACCCCTAATCTGAAAAGTGCACAGCGGATCATCAGGACAGAGCTGCCATCCACCTGGACACCCCGTGGTGCTGGAGAAGGACCCCTAACTGAAGTTACCTACTGTAACTCCAGCTTCTATGAGTATTGGCGTAGCCCTCTAAGGCTATCGCTATTGGGTAATCCCCCTGCGCACCCGCGCAGCACTGAAACACTTGTAGTCCACGCCCGCCCGCAAGGTGGGCCCCACCCTCGGGCTCCCTTCCGGTATAAATAGGAAGGAGGCCCGACAATCTGCTCCCACACAAAACAACTTTTCTTCAGCTATTCGTGGAGCCAGTGGGGCCCAGAACTTAGAGGGCTACGCCAATACTCATAGAAGCTGGAGTTACAGTAGGTAACTTCAGTTCTATTTCGTATATGGCTTCGCCCTCTAAGGCTATCGCTATTGGGTTAAGGGCGAAGCAAGATGTAGTCTGCGCTCCACTGGGTCCGCCCGGTACTAGAAGCACAGACACACCTGCTCAGATAATAACCCATGCCTATTGCGCCATGCGAATGGCGCATCGCAGTCCCTGGAATATATCATAACATGAATATTTACCATGAGGGGACGAGGCTGGGAATAATACATACCTGCCGCTGTGAAAAAGTAGAGACGAAGGTCACACTTTGCCCAGTGACAGAAAGGAGGGGGAATAGCAGCTCTCTGCGTGTAGTTAGACAGGCAGGAGAGCGCACAGCTGGGTCCCCAACATCACTCACTCTGACAAGACATTCCGTACGAAATGTGTCAGGGGAAAAGGGGGACGTCCCTCTCATAAGAGGGAAATACAGGCCACTCTCCGTGTGCCGAGGCAGGAGAGAGGCGCACAGCTGGGTCCCTGACGTCACTCACTCTGACAGGACACTCAGCACAGGGTGTGTCAGAGAGGAAAGGGAGACATCCCTCAAATACAATTGAATAAACGAACAGGGAGAAGACCAAGATGCAGCAGTGCAAATGTCTTCCACTGACATTCCTCCGTGCAAAGTCGTGGAGGAGGAAATTCCTCTGGTGGAGTGCGCATTGATGTTCTCCGGGGGATCCACCCCAGAGGAGACATATGCCTGTGACACAGCCTCACACAGCCAGTGTGACAGCCGTTGTGCAGATAGACTGCCCTATCGAGCGCTCTCTATAATGCACAAACAGGCGCTGAGAACGGCGCAAGGCAGCCGTGCGCGCCACATAGCAGGACAGCTGAGATGAGACGTGGCTTCTTCCTCCGACCTGTGAGGAGGGGGAAAGAAGCCAGCCAGGGTGATCACTCTTGACCTAAAAGAGCTTGTGATGACCTTTGGCATAAAAGCCGGGTTAGGGCGTAAAACAACTGAACTGCCATCTCCTTGGATCCGGAGGCATGACGGAGCCACAGAGAGAGCAGACAAATCACTCACCCTCTTTGCTGATGTTAGAGCCAAAAGTAGTACTAGTTTGGCTGATAACATCTTAAGGGGAACCTGATCTGAAGGTTCAAATGGGGCTTTGCTTAGTGCGCGTAACACCAAAGCCAAATCCCACTGAGGCGCTAGTGCGCGTGACACAGGTCTGAGTCTCCGTACTCCTCGCAGAAAACGTTTCGTCAGGGGGTGACACAACACCGTCCCGACCCCGAAACCCACATGACAAGATGATATGGCAGCAGCATACACCTTGATTGTGTTGAAAGCCAAATTCCTGTCCAACAACAGCTGGAGGAATGACAGCATGTGAGGCAGGGGGCACGTAATGGGGTCCAGGCTTTTTTCTACACACCAACGCTGGAAAGCTGTCCACTTGGCTGTGTAGGACGCTCTGGTAGACGCGGCCCTGGCTCCCTGAATGGTCCGTACAACATCTTGAGAGAGGCCCAGTCCCTCTAAGTGTTCCCGTTCAGGGGCCATGCCCATAAGTGCTGGCCTATCACAGGGTGACTGTTGATCGCTCCCTCCACCTGCGAGAGAGCGTCCCCGCGCCACGGAATTTCCCACGGTCTGCCTGACAGCGTACGCTGTAGGCATGGAAACCAGGAAGCGCCCGTGCGCTCCGGGGCAATTAGGATCACTGACAGTCGCTCCTCCTGCACTCGGTCCAGGAACCGAGGGATCAGCGGGACTGGTGGGAAAGCGTACAACAGTCCCCTGGGCCACGGTCGATGTGCGAACGCGTCCACCCCCAGGGGGGGGTGGTCCTGCGCTTTCAGGGAGAACCAGAGGGCGCATTGCGCGTTCCCGCGTGTGGCGAACAGATCCACCTCTGCTCTCCCGAACCGGCTCCATACCTGGGAGACCAGCTCGGGATGGAGGCTCCAGTCCCCCTGGCGAGGACCTCCTCTGGACATGAGGTATGCCCCTTTGTTCAGTTCGCCGGGAACATACATTGCTCTGATGGAGAGCAAGTGT